CATGGGAGGGCTCTGATTGGGCGGTTCTGAAATCAAGGTGGAGGCGCTCGGGTGGATTTGGATCGGGAGGATCCCAAGGTGGAGAGAAAGGCAGGTAGGTGGCGGCGGGCAGGAGGATGGATGGGACAAGTCACTACAAGAAATTTGTTAATACATGATGGTGACAGTCCGTCATGGACTAGGAGAAAACTGTCATGGGTGCCCACCCATGACGGAGTCGATGTTCGTCATGTATATCGCGTGATAATTTGGCATCATGCTGACCATGACGGATTTTCACCGTCATGGATTTGCCCCAGGCCCAAATCATTGTGACGGAACAGTCCGTCATGGATTGACGCCACGTAGGATTTTCAATTAACCAACTGCAATGACGTGGCTGCCTACATGGACACTATTTTCTGTCACAGAAATCGTCACGGATTTTGGGGCAATTTAAATTTAGTTCTTCCCATTAGCCTATTTCATTCGGCCCAATTTTCAACAACTACATTTTAAGCACAATGCGTTCCACAAATTATAATGCAAACTATGGCTCAAGACAAAGTATTTCCAAAGTTTCATACATACATATATGAATCAACATGCAATCATCCACATGTATTTACAACATAGAAGTTTACAAAATTATCAGGAAATGATAATTTTACAATATAGGTTGACAAAATATCACTCAACAAAGTTAGGAAATAGTACAATCCAGCTCACACAAAGAGAACATTTAAACTATTGAAGTTATTATTCATCTTGGCGTCGGCCCTCCTGATGGAAACTATGTATCATGCCATGCTGATTGTTATTGGAAGCACCAAGTAGCCTACTATGCAATCATACCTAGCATATTTACAAGACCATTAGATATGTTAGATATAAATAGATAGAAGAGAATTGCAACAAATGTAAAAACGGAATCACGTCTTATCCAAAATTCTAGTAGTTGCTTAACTAACTAGCAGATCTCACAAAATCTACACTGCTAGTGCTCGCACGGTGAGAAAAGAAAAGAAAATAGCCAGCAGTAAGAAGTGTTGTTCTCATGAAGTAACTCAACCAAACATTTTCAAGAGCTGGATTCCAAATTATCTTCTTCAGTGACAAAGGGACATCTCAATAATCATTTAATGTAAGTAAAAGACCAAAAGCATGGACTGAGTTTTTGGTTGGAAGAACAAGCATGAATTATGTGTATTTTCAGTCAAGTTTACTTCCAGCAAACATCATAATTCACAAATGCAAATTGAGCGAGTGCCATAGCAGAACATAAGGGCAAATAGATGTTTGAGTAAAGTGTATGAATATTCAGTGCACTGTCCAAACTTCATAGACATTCAAGAATGGTGTTCTTGGCGAGCTCACCGGGGATGATGAGGTGGAGGGAGGACATGGGAGGTGGCAGCCATGGCAGTTTTTCTCAATACATGCAATAAAACTGCAGATAAGAACAAGCATGTACCTACAGAATCTACATATACGAGTTTTTCTTCATTTAGATATAAAATGGTATGAATTTCTCAATTCTAAAAGCTGGCAGGATAAATGCTGTAGGCAATTACTATTCAAAAAATCAGACAACATACATCGGACTTCTGAATTAGCAGTGTACAACTACAAAGCAAACAATCTTACTCTTAGTCATTTGATTGAGATTAATGAATTGACTTGAGAACAAAACGCTAAAAAAAACATGTTGCTGTATTAATACAGTAGCAAAAATCGTGTCTCGAAGAGCTATTTTAACAGAACATATATACTCCGTGCTTACACACAGACGGACACCAATACATGGAAGAAATATAATTAAGCAAGGCGGACAACACAAAACAACTATTTACAACAGCCTACCAACTAGGAGCAATAAAGGTCAGGCACATACTTAACAGATAAAGAACAGGAGCATCATATACAAAAGATTATTGCAACATGCACATAATGAAAGAACTTGCAGTTCATATTTAAGCGGGATAGTTGCAATAAATCGTGTGAGCAAACTTCATGCTTAAGAAAGAAAGTAGCAATACTCTGTCCCCAAAATAGATGGCAGATTATGTACAGAAATATGAACATAAATAATGTCAAACCAACATCAATATATCCACCACTAGATATACTTTCATAATATATTTATTGAACATTGTAGTTGTTGATATTTTCTCCTACATGTTTGGTCAAACTTAGAAAGAAATGACTTCTTGACTGAATTTATACACCATGTATTTGGGGACAGAGGGATTATGTCTTAAGGTTGTGCTACTAGAGACAAGACCACAGTTAACATAGTATATTACAAATTTACACAGTTGGATACAAATACAGTGCACACAAATTAAAATTTAGCAAGGTGCACAACCCAGAACAACTATTTACAACATACCTACCAACTATTGAGCAGTAAAGGAGGACAACTGCAATATATAATCATATGAAACAAACAAGTCGACGTTGCAGCATGCATGCTTTGATTTATGTAAGCAACAAAAAACCTAGTGCAACAGATTTATGTTTTGTTGTTGTACAGTATATGTCCATAGTATCTCAAAGAGAAAAGGAGAAAATATCACAGATCTTCATCACAGAAATGCATTACCTATCTTGTTTGGAACGAGTGCATGGATGTAGAACGAAAAACATTGTGGGACAGAGGGTATGGAGAGAAGCAAAGCCTCACCAGACATCGCCCTCCTTCTGCCCGGCACCCTGGAGAAGACCTCCTAGAAGACGCGGAGCTCCATGAGCGACCTGTCGAAGGCACTTGCACCGGTGCCGCCGTCGTATCTACCCTGGCGTCCACATCCTCGCCGAAGATGAAGCGGATGGCGCCGTCCTCCTAGAAGCCCAGCGCGTCCTCCGCGTCCATCTGAGGAGGGAGAAGCGAATCTGAACGGGAAATCCGAGGGCGAGAGGAAGAAGATGATGCGGGAGAGCAGATCCATCGGTACCTGAACGAATGCGGGAATCCCTGCGCGTCGAGGGCGGGTGAAGGCGAGAGGCGGCCTGGGTGGAGGTGAATCGGGCGGAGGAGCGAATTCGCCGGCTTGGTCTTCTGCCGCGGCAGGGCGGGGCGAGATCCGAGCGCCGCCGCTGGGGTAAGGAAGGGCACACCGGCGTGTAGGCGGCCGGCAGCAGGGGCGGGCTCATCTACTGCTCGCTGACGGAGAGTTGTGGGAGGAGGGAGGCGAGGTAGTAGGTGGTGGCGATTGGGAGTTAGGAGGGGCCTGCGGACGAGGGAGAGAAGAGGGGCCGAGGACGAGGGTTAGGGTTAGCATTTTATATGGGTAAAGATTAGATGGGCTTTAGCGGGCTTGGGCGGGCTTAGCGGGCTATACCACGCCATCCATGACAGTTTTAAAAACGTCAATAGAAATCCGTCATGGATTAACAAATTTCTTGTAGTGAGTGGCCTAAAAACTAGGGTTTCCTCCTTATATATAGCTAGTTGATTTGGGTAGGGGCATCCTAGCCCCTCCAATCGTAATCGGACGGTCCGAGATAATTAGGTTAGGAGACTCCAACGAGAAACCGATGATACTTTATAGATGTTTGGGGATGATCCGGACCCATCGGTAACGACGGCCCGATTCGGGATCGGGAAAGTTTCGGACGCGCACGCGAGGGGGTCTGAGAGAGGTCGACAAAGACAAGCGGGCCTAGCTGGGGCTAGTGGGCTATGGAACGAAGGCCTCGGGCTGAGAGGAGAGAAGAGAGAGAGAGAGAGAGAGAGAGAGAGAGAGAGAGAGAGATCCGACAGCAGTTTTCGGAGACCGAAAACGTCCGACGTTAGACCGGCAGCGGTGCCGCTATAGTTATCCGTTGGGGCAACAAACGAGCTCCGAATGCGATGAAACTTGGTGGGCGGCGTATTGACAACATAACAATACCGCATGCCAACTTTCAACCCATTCCGAGAACATTTTCCAGCCACTTATAAAATACTATTTCAGACGTGCCGCACGCGCGTGCAAGTGTGTCTGGGCTCAGAATGGACAACGGAAAGAACTTGGAGAACCCGGACGGATGCAAGTTTTGAAAACATGATGATGTTATGCACATGATGACATGGCAAGATGTAACACACAAGCGAATGACATGGCAAAAACAGCGAATAACTGGAAGACACCTGGCGCAACGGTCTCGGGGCGTTACATTCACGCACATCATGGCGTATCCTGACCCTTAGGCTACTTAAGTGGGGAGTATCATATACTAGTATCATGCATATGATACTAGTGTATGATACTACCTTCATAGGAGTAGTGCATAGTATCATAGAGTAGTATCATAGATGATCATATTTATTATCATACATGACACAAAGTAGTATATCATTTAATATGATACTGTATCTACCTATGTTAATCTAACCCTCTCTTATCAGTATGTTTGATATTCTCGAATGCATGATATCAGTTATGATACCACCACTATAGCCAGCCTTTATGGCCTTATATAGTCTTCTCAGGAATTCCTCAACAGCCTTCTTGGTTAATTTGTCAACAATCTCTTTTGTCTGAGCTTTGACTTTGTTCACGCAATTTTTTTTGTGTGTGTGTGCGCGTGTGTGGGAAGCAAGCAATTCATTATCAAAGTTGGAATTTAGACACCAAAACTGTACTCGACAGTTCCTCCCACCGACGCATGGTGGTGGCGCCTATAGATCGTAGTGAAAAATCATGGCGACAACGATGGCTCTCGGTCAACGATAAGCATGTCATCACGGAGTTGACAATGGCTATCAATCGATATCAGGCATGCCAATAAAATAGTGAGCACTAATTATCGATGATTTGCTTACAACTTCAACAAAATCCACTAATTCAGGGTCGATCACACCACTTCTTCGCGGGGTGCTAGCAAGTGAGCCTAAAATAGCCAAGGGACTCACTAATAAAACTAAACGCAGCTTTGCAGTAGACAGTAGTAGAACTAAAAATACTTTAATATGTGCAAAAGAAAAAAGAAAACGTGCGTAAAATATATGCAAAGAAAATGACCGCGATCTTCCTCTACTCGCGAAGGACGTTCTCGAACAGCCCGCGGATGTACTCCGGCATGAAGTCGTGGCGCGTCAGGATCCCCAGCACCGGCGGTCTCTGCAATGCACACGCACGCGTGGTCAGAGGATGGTAGAAATGGCGGCAAGTAATGGCGGAGCTGGGCAGTGAGTTCTTACCCCGGGGGTCCTGGGCACGACGCACATGTGCCGGAGGCCGAGGTCGCGGAAGAGCACGGCGGCCTTGGCCAGCGACATGTTCTCCAGGACGGTGTAGGGCGACCGGTTGGTGATCGGGTGGAGGTCCACGTACATGTCCATCTCCTCCTCGGTGAGCCTCAGCTCGTCCACCTCCATCGCCTTCCCCGACGACCCCACCTTGGCGAAGTCGAAGGGCTTGAGCTTGCGGAACACCTCGGCGGCGCCGGTCTTGACGGGGGCCCTCGTGAAGGTCCTGCCGTTGAGCAGCACGATCAGGTGGGAGCGCAGCACCAGGCCGCACAGCTCCGGCGCCGGCGCGAACGGCTCCTCCTCGATCACTGGGAACCCGTTGTGGCCCGTGCGCCGCAGCGTGTTCACCACGGAGCCGACGCGCTCCACGCTGGAGAAGGTGATCACCGGCCCGGACAGCACGTCGCTGGCCACCAGGCTTCGCATGCACGCGTCGGCGTGCACCTCCAGGAAGGGGAGCCCCTTCATGCGCACGATCTGCTCGTAGACGCCCTTGTTGAAGCAGTCCGCCACCGTCTTGGAGACGAGCAGGACCAGCATGATGAGCGGCAGCAGCAGGAGATCGTTGGTGAGCTCCAGCAGGATCACGCACACCGACACCGTCATCCGCATGGTGCCGCCGAGGAAGGAGGCCGCGCCGACGATCGCAAAGAGGCCCGTGTCGAGGCCCGAGCCGAAGATCTTGCCCACGAGGCGGCCGAAGGAGGCACCCGAGAGGATGACGGGGATGAAGAGGCCCGACGGCACGGCCACGCCGTAGGTGATCAGGCCAAGGGTGTACACGCCGATGAAGAACGTGAGCAGAGTGTACACCCCGAACTCGCTGTCCGTGCCGCCGCTGAAGAGGTTGCGGATGGCATCGTCGTTGGTGTTGAAGAAGAGAGAGGCCAGCGCGTTGTAGTGCCCCGCCGGACACCAGAACTTCTTGTAGTTGCCGTTCCGGCCGATGGTCGGGCACTTGCCGGGGGCGAGCTCGGGCGGGCACGGGACGCAGGGAGACAGCGACGACAGGCCGAAGGAGCAGCACGAGGTGACAAGTGAGATGAACACCGTCATGAGGATCTTGTACGGCGCACCCTTCCTGCAAATTCAAACCATTCAGTGATCCAACTTCCTGAAGCTCTCCGAGAAATGCTTTCCTTTCATAAGGAGGTTAATTCGGATGAAGATTACTCGTTGATGACGCCGTATCTGCGGAGGATCTGGTCGACAAAGTGGTTGAAGAGAGCTCCGAGCAGCCCGCCGAGGATGCCGAGCAGTATGACCGCGGCGATGTCAGTGGCAGTGTAAGTCGTCACCCGCGAGCTGACGTCGAACATGATCAGACCCCCTTTGCCAAACAGGCCGCAGTTGCCGCTGCGGCAGTACTCTATCAACGACCGCAGCACTATCGCCGACATTGCCGTTGTGGAGAATGTCCTCCACAGAAGCGCACTCCGCCACCTGAGAGATCAGAAGGACAAAGGGTTTCTGTTATATGGAAGTAATGGGAGGGGATTAGCCCGGTTTGAAAATTGAAAAGATCTCGCTACAAATTTCATTCCACAGTTCAATGTGATCATATTATCAGGACCAAAGAATACCAAAGGGGTGATTCCATGTGACAGATGATGAATTTATGTGAAACCAACCTTGGGTGAAACTGCACTTTCCCAAGGAATAAACACTGTAGCATTTCCGACAAAATCAGGATTGGAAATAGAACATGCACAGTTTTAGTAGTAGTAAAAATTTACCAAGTCGTTGCTTCCTCGAGCGCAAAGAGGACGCCGCCTACGGGGGCGCGGAATGCTGCAGTGACGCCGGCCGCAGCACCGCAGGTGATGAGATCCCTACGGTCGAGGTCGTTCTTGAAGTACCTGATCCAGTTCCACGTGAGGCCATACTTGCGCGACCCCCCTTGGGCGAGCATGGCGGCAACGCAGGCACCAGTGTGCACCATAGGCCCTTCTTTGCCCAGCATAAAACCGGCAGACACCCCCAATATGGAGCCAATAATCTGCAGGTCCCAAAGTCACAACTTAATCCTGTCCAATGTGCACCGAAACATCCATTGGCAGTGAGTTAGAAAGAAAGTGGTCTGACCTTCACGAAGAGGGTGCTGGGCGCTAGGATGGAGTGGGCGTCGACACCGTTCAGATAGGCCTTCACCTCCGGTATGCCGGAGCCGGCTGCCGCGGGGGCTAAGTAGGCGCAAATCGCAGCTGCGGATCCCGCGAGAACCGCATTGCAGGCCATGTATAGCAGGAACGCTCCCAGGTTCCTGAAGCCACGGAGATAGAGATGATGCGCCGTGCATTGTTTGGGTCTTTGGGAGATGGCATTGGTGGTGTACATGTCTGACTAGGTATACCTGTTTTGCCGCATGAGGTTGCTGGTCAGGAGCAGCTTGTAGCCGGCGATGTTCTCGACGGCGATGTTGTTGAAGAATCCGACGAGGCCAACGAAGGATCCCACGAGGAGCGCCATGAGCCATTTGAGGACCTGGTACTGGAAGATCTGGATCCTCCCCCTCGACCTCCAGTCCTGCTTGTACACGTCGTTCTCCACGATCCTGAGATCTATCGCAGATTAGTACAGAATTTAGGACGAAGTTCAGAGGATCGCGGTAGATAGGGTTTAGGGACACGCACTCGTAGTCGAGGCTCTCGATAGGGCAGACGTTGGTGCCGACGACGGCCATCTGCGACGTGGTGTTGGAGCCGCGCTGCCGCAGCAGCGGCCGCTCCAGCCCGCCGGCCGCGTCCTCGAGGTCGCCCCACCTGACCGACCTCGCGGACGTCGGCGCCGTTGCCGACACCGGCGTCGCCGACGGCGTCGGGGGAGCCTCGGGTACGGGTACCGGTGCAGGTACGGGGCGTACGGCCAAGGTTTTCTCCCGTTTAGCCATGGCCATGGATCTGTTTTCCCGAGTCTAACCTAATCTAATCAAACGCGCCGCGCGTTCTTCGATCCTCCGCGCCGAATCTGCAAAACGTAAACACGGGCATTATTGCCGGGAATGGGATACACGACATGTGTGGAATTAAACGTATCTGGCTTCGTTTAAGAAGAAAGGATCTCGCGGAATGCGATTCTGCCCTAACCGCCTAATGGATAAGGCTAGGAATTCAAACGAAACGAGACGAGGATCCGTGGGTTACGTGGACTCTTACGACGACGAACAGATTGGCCGGATCGGATCTTCAGGTGGAAGGACCAGCGCCTGTGAATCTCTTGGGATCACGCGGCGGTGCTGTGGCGCCGCCGGCTCACGGCGATCATCGTCGCCGCCACGGGACTCTCTGCCGATCGAGAGAGATGCTGGTTGAGCACCCTCGACTGCACTGCACCGACCTGGCTGTCGGGTTCGGGTCGGAGAGGAACGCGGGAAGCAGGATAACTCCGTGGCGATCGATTTTGTTCCCCGCCGCTAATTCATTGCGCTGAGGGAGACGACCAAGTGAAGGAAGGCGACTAATGCGGCTGTCGGGTCAGATCAGCTGGATCCGCTTTGCACGGGATGCATGCAGGGCTTAGCTTGAACGTGGCTATGGCTTCGCAACATATATGCACCCACCCTGCGTGCAACACAGCTGAAGCATTTTGTTGATCCTAAAAAAAACAAAAAAAAACTGAAGCATTTTGTTTTTACTTGACAGTAATAAGACTTTATTTGATAGCCATGTCGTTTACAAGAAGTTGAGAAATAAAATCAGGGAAAAAAACTTTCCCAAAAAATCAGAAAATCATATTAGGTTTGTCTAAAGTCAAACTTTATATACTTTCAACCAGTTCGTAGAAAAATATATTAACATATACACCACCAAATCAATACCACTGCATTCATCATTGCATATATTTTCACATCATATAAACTTGTTACAATAAATATTCATATTATTTTCTACAAACTTGGTCAACTCTATAAAGTTTGACAGTCAAAGGTTTTTTTTCAGGGATAAAACTCGTATTACTCAATCATAATAAATTTACAATCCTCTCCGAGCATCTCAAAGACCTCGACTAGTCCTGACCCTAACCAGGTCAATGGTCTATCATTAGGTCTAGCAAAAGAAGCCAACCTATCACTGGCTTTATCCTGAGAACGCGGTATGTGAGTAATACAAGAATTACAAATGCTTCTAAGCTTCTTATCTCATGCACTAAGTGAGCATAGATTGATCTGTCAACTTTAATGCTCTGGATCATGTTCACTACATTGACTGAATCCCGTTCAATAATGATAGGCAAATCACTCCTTTGTAGGGCAAAGGCTAAACCCTCTTTTTACACGCGCAAAGCTCCACTTCTAATGCATCCATACAAGAGTACAACTTCCTGCATGTGAAAAGATGATTGCTCATGTATCATCTCTGAGAATCATGCCTGTGCCAGCTTCTCTCATTCGATACTTGTGAACCGTCAGAATTCAACTTGACCCACCCTTGCGTTGGAGGTCATCAACGGGAAGCAGCACCTGGAGCCGGAGCGTTTTTATTTTTAGCAGTCTGATCAAGGGATATGACCATATTCCCTTTACGTGAATCGACATTCATATTCAGTTTAATTCCGATGATTGAATCCAGGTAACATTGAAGAAAACAAACAGAGACCTCTGTTGGTGGTCCTGGTTTATTATGAACCACTTCATTAGGAACATACTAGCTTCTCCACAAGGTAATTAACAGCGGCGGACATGTGTGTTTCTTCTCTGCTTTCTTATCACTTTTTACTATTTCCTTTGAGTTTTTTATTTTCTCCGGTTTCTTTCTTTGGTTTTCATCGGGTTTTTTTCTAACACATGTCTACATTTTTTACACATTGTAAACTATTGGCATAAATCATAAACATTTTTTTATACATGATTAACATTTACTTAAGTATATATTTTGATGTCTATTATTAATCATATTGTACATTTTTTGTATACATATAAAATATTTATTCATAAAAGTATAAAAAATAAAAATATTTTTTAATTATATAAAATACATGTTTTTCAATATAATTTTGAATGTGTCTTAAATGTTTTTCAAATGAACATTGATATATAATTTTTGAATGATACAAAACATTTTATTACATTATGTGACCATTTTTATACATTTTCTAAAACTAATAACATCAAGAACAAAATTTTAAAATGCGTGAAAATTTTCTAAGATGTAACATGCATTTTTGAATGGTATGATACATTTTCGACTTGCACAAACTTTTTTTTACATTGTATAATTTTTTTAACATGGAACGTACTTATTTTCTGAAACACATGAACATTTTTTTTAAATGTCACAAACATTTATGGAATACTAACAACACGAAAAAAATTTCAAATAAATAACTTTAACACCGTGTCGACAATTTTTCAGATTCACGGTGAACATTTTAAAAAATTGTAAGCACATTAAGTTTTTCAAATATATATACTCCGTCCTTCTATCTATATAGGGCCTAATGCATTTTATGAGGCTAACTTTGACCAAATGTTAGAGCAATAATATATGACATGCAACTTACACAAAGCATACCGGCAAATTCGTATGTGAAAGGAGCTTCCAATGATATAATTTTCACATTATGCATGTCATGTACTATTAATCTTGTCAATACTCAAAGGCGGTCTTGAAAACGCATTAGGCTATATAGATGGAAGGAGGCAGTATATATTTGAAAAAAAGGTGAAAACTATAAAAGGTGAAAAATAATAATATGCACGCCAAGTTGGGCCGGCCCTTTTATGGCGCTCATGAGGGCATCATTTCTCTCGCGCAAAGCGAGACATATCCCGACCCAATCCGGGAATCCGGATGTGCAGCACAGCTAAAGCATCAGTGACTCTCCAAAAAGAAAAAGCTAAAGCATTAGTTGTTCCAAAAAAAGCTAAAGCATCAGTTTCTCAAAAAAAAAACCTAAAGCATCATGGGCTCAACTATCGCAGGACAGACCCCGTCATGGTTGAACAGTGTGGCCCGAGTCAAGGAATTTCGTGGGGATACAAACCTATTGTCCGTGTCAAATCTTCGCGAACATCTTCATTTGTATGCAAAATTAGTGGTGTCCGGAAACGCTTCCCATATATCTAGACCATTTTTCAAATTCATTTTGTCTTAGCCATCTGACATTTTTTTCAATTTAGTATATATATATTTCTCTTTTTATATTTTTTCTTCTCCTTTTACTTATTTTTATTTTATTCAACCTTTTTCTTTAGTTTACTATAAATTTAAAATAGACGACTTTCTAGCTAAATGTGTGCCATTTGTTCGAAAGTTTATGTATGAATATATATCCATATGTGAATGGGCCTACCTTTTCAACCATGGTTCCATAAAATACACGGACCTGCTTAAAATCATGAACATATTTTGTTGTTACACAAATTATTTTGAAATTATCCAAATTTATTGCTGTAGCTACCCATTCAATGTAGAAGAATTTAAATTTTTCACAACTTCATGGACAAGAATCTAACCAATTTCCTAGCCACGCCCTAGAGAGAAATGTAGAAAAATCAAACCAAACCAACTTCATTTGCAACCAAACAGCACCTGTAACTGTAAACACTAAACAGTACCAACCAAACTTGTCGGCTACATGATTTACTAAGGCACTAGAAGGACCATTTGAAAAATCTTTCTGAACCTGCTCAATGATCTCCACTAGATGGATTTGCAATGAGCATGTAGACAGAATCACAATGAGCATGTAGACATACCACATCAAAACAATCAATGCATAACCAAAAGATTGACAGAATCACAATGAGCATGTAGACATACACTTGTTGTCTGACACCTGGAATAAAAGGGTTAACGCCGGACACTAACTACTGATTTCAGTTCTATCACAGAACGTCAGTACATACGCTGCCCTAACCTACGGTCACAAGATCACACACATCAGAGCGCTAGTATCTCTCAAGTCTAGGCAGAGAAGAGAAAGCATGCAGGTTAAATCACTGTTTGAATCAGCTAATAACATGTACGAAACTAAATCTCAGTGAAACAGATACCAATAGACAAGCTGTAGAAAAATATAAACCTGAAAAATACACCATCTCAACAACAACAACGACCGGTCACAAACACACCAACTAATCCACCAGTAGCTTGAGATGATGAGCACAATCTCAATCTGACTATAAGCAGTACACAGCGCCACAACAATAACCATCATCTGAGAAATCCAGGGAAATGCTTGATGTACACTATAAAATAATCGTAGGACCATCATCATTATCATCTCCTTCCTGAGTTCCCATGTCTTTGGCTGCGGAAGTAGCTGAGAAGAGCCTGCGCCTGCAACAAATTCAAATGCTTAACAAGAAGATTTTGTAACTATTTTTCTTCTAGTTGTAAAGTTTTTTATAGGAAGTGAGGAAGTGGCAAACCTTTTCTCTTGCGCGTGGTGTTCCTGACTGTGACAGGGCGACTAAAGGGGGCACGGCATCCTCTTGAAGAACTATGTTACAAAACCTGTTGCTGTTTGTACATAGCTGAAGCAATGCCGCAGCAGCATTTTCCTTCGCTTTCGCTGAACCCAGTTCGACAACTTCAACAAGGGCTGGAATACCACGCGCCTGCCCAATCGCAGTCCTCCCTTCTTGTATCGTAGCAAGATTTGCCAAGACAGCTACAGCCTTATCGACCATTCCAGCAGCTGGGTCCATGAGCTCAACTAGGTGCCTCAGAGCATCAGCTTGCACAATTCGACCCTTGTTCTCATTAAGTATGGATAAATTAAACAATGCAGTAACCGCATCTTTCTTTCCTCGTGGGCTCCCATTTCCTAGCAAGTCCACGAGAGGCTTTACGGCGCCAGATTGTCCAATCCTCGCTCTGTTATCTTCAATAAATGAGAGACTGAACAAAGTAGCTGCTGAGTTCTCTTTAGCTTCAGGGTTCCCTGTTTCCAGGACATGGACGAGTGGATCAACAGCATCTGCATTCACGATGGCAATCTTATTAATATCACTGAGTGACAAATTGAGGAGGGCCGTCACTGCATTTTCCTGGACTTTGGCATCTGGTGAATGAAGAAGGCCAACCAGCAAGTTTATAGCCCCACAATTAGCAATGGCAATCCTGTTCTCCATGTTGTGTTTAGCTAGAAGGCGAATCTCTGATGTTGCTGATCTCTGACCTTCTATGGAATCGCTTCCCAAATCATTGATTAGCTCGCGTACCTGATTCTCGATGGCAGAGAAATCACCCCGGGCATCCATGGATGACGACGATATTATTCTGGGGAATCCCCTGTCAGCTGTTTGCCGCCGAACAGATGGCCCTTCCATGCAGATATCACCCAATCTTGGCAGGATCACATTCTCCCTTTGAGGGGCGGAAGGGACAGAAAGCCCCCCGTCAGCAACCTCTCCAGACGCATCACCACTGTAATTTGTCCTATCACTTGGTACCCCTGTCATCCCATTGTCAATGTCACACTCCCTATCAAGCTGACCGGTATTAGGAAGACTACCATCAACCGAAGAGCTGACTAGAAGAACCTGCGAATCACTGTCAAAATGAGATGCTTGAGATGCTTCCTCCGTTGATTGTTCCAAAGTTTGTTCATCAGAACCAGCATGTCTTTCTTCCAAACTAGACTCTCTTGCTTCAGAGCTTGCAAGAGATAGCCTTGCTAGCAGAGCCATTTGCATAGCCTAATTAAAGACTGATCGGTGGAAGCCTCACGACCAGGATGGTCCACATGTGCATCAGATTTCAGGATGGTTCACATGCTCCGTTCAAGCTTCTCATATAGAAGTCAGCTTCTGGGGACCAGGGAAGATTACCCTACCAAGTACCGACACTAGGATGTAGGAGGCTGTTGCTTGTGGTGCTCAAATCTTGAAGACTCTGCTGAAGGAAAGTTCAACTTCAAAGATTTCACAGGATCAAGGTAGCTTAATGTCATGTGACTCGAAGCAGTTAAATATGAAAGGCTCAAAGTTTGCATGGTGTAGTTAGGAATTAAATTTAAATGAGCTACTCAACTGCGCGGGAACATGACCTGGTTGCCCAGTTCAATTAAGATGTAATCATCGACGCCACGCTATCGAACGCAAACAGACCCACCATAGCACGCCTTACATGATATGTTCCTACTTTACAGGGCAGGAATGTGTAGCAGATTCTTGCGGGCGTCCATGGTGTCTAGAACTGTCATGATCATCGCCCAAGATTGAGAGAAGAGGTACATCAATGCAACAAAAACTAGGCAGGGAGCTGGAGGTAGATACTCAATTGCGCGGGAACATGAGCTGGTTGCGCGGTTCAGTTAAGAATGTAATCATATGAGCTACACCATCTGATGCAAACATGGCCCAGCAGAGCACTCGTTACATGAATGAAATGATCCTATTTCACGGCGCACCAAAGCATAACAGCAGTTCCTATTATCACGGTGAATGCGGGCGTCCACAACGTCTATGAGTAACGATCATGGCCGAAAATTGCTAGTAAAAAAGAATTGACGTCAAGAATCCTGAACTTTCAATTAAAAGGCATGCACGGTCCACAGTCTGATATCTAAGATTGTTGATGAGCTCCGATCATGGAAGGAGGTTGCCCACAAAGGGCCAATGTGGCTGCCTCCAGACGAACTAGTAACAACCGATCTACTCCCTCCGTTCCTAAATATAAGTCTTTGTAGGGATTTCACTATGAACCACATATGGATGTATATAGATGCATTTAGAGTGTAGATTCACTCGTTTTGCTCCGTATGTAGTTCATAGTGGAATCTCTACAAAGACTTATATTTAGGAACGGAGGGAGTATAAAGTAAATTCCCTGTCCCCATAATCTGTAATTAATCTATAACAGAGTCCTGAACTACAGGAAAAACAGGGGCTGATCAATATGATGTGCCGGATGCGCACCGGCGTACCCAGAAATTGCGGAGATCAGCAGCGTTTAGACTAGCCACCGGGTGAAAACAAGATCATACCTCACAAACCAATGGCCGAAGGTTGCGGAAGGGGCGGAGGCCGCGGGAACGCGATGCTGCGGTGAGGGGAAACGGGATCGGCGATGGGCACGAGGGGCGTGAGAGGCGGGGGTGTTGGGGGTGGGGGCGTGGTACGGGATTCAGGCGTCGGCGGCGGCTGGCGCTGAGGCACGGCACGGCGGCAGCGCTAGGACACAGGCGGAGGTAGACTGGAGAGGAGAAGAATTTGCCGCGTTGGTTTGGTTGGGTTGGTGGTAGCTGGTCGGTCAGCCGGGGGAAAGAGGAAGGAAATGCACGGGAAAGGGATGGACTTCGGGTGTGGTGGATGGGTGAGCAGCGAAATCACCCATTGACCGTTTCAAACAAAAAGAGACCACTTTTTCTTTTCTTCTACAACGGCGTGCATTGGCCACCTGATCTTTTGCAAGACCAAGACTCGACAGGTCGCAAGCCGTCTGCTACCTCAACCACGAGTGTTTGCAACATGAACCCATGTTGCACTCGTAGGTTTGCAACATCAGTCGGGTTTCGATCGAAGATTTGCTAGACAAGAACTTTGAAACATGAGCCATTATGTTGGGTGTTCTGCAGCCGGGCCTTTGCAACACCGTCATGAGCCATGTTGACGATGCAGAAAATCGTTAGTGCCCTCGGTAGGGTGGCAAGTGTAGCCGGAAGTACGAGAGGGAGTTCGGAAAGGGATTTTACCCAGGGCTTAGACCATCGTGGTTGAGGTAGCACCCTACTCCTGCTTTGTTTTAGATTTATAGACAGATGTAGGTAGTCATCATTATTATTCTCCTAAACTTGTTTGGAGTTTTGGAGTCTGGCTTCCTCCAAAACGAAATCCAAGCGGACTCCTTTCCAATCAGCGGTTGGTGCAATCTAGCCTTTGGTATCCTTGTCTCGAACATCTCCGGGCTCGGCGACTAGCGGCCTCCAGGAGAGTTTATCGGAGGCCAAAGACTTTTGGTCTTGGGATGCTTGGCCTCGGGGCTTCACGACCTTAGTGGCTTGCGTCTTCATGTGTAACACCCCGGACACACCCGGGAGCAACTTCCCGATCGGTCTGCATGGGCTTCCGGAAAAGAAGGAATTTCTTATTGATATGAGTAGTGTATCATCTCTAATAAGCCAGGCTATCACATACACCCTCACTCAGAGGAACCGACGTCCTCATCGGACCACAGAAACGTTCCCTCTTGGCACATACGTCTACTCCAAGCTGACCACGCTTAACTTTGGAGTTCTGTCCGAATGGGCTCCCGGAAAAGAAGGAATTCCTTATTGATATGAGTAGTCTATCATCCCTAATAAGCCAGGCTATCACATCATGGCTTCGGTGTCCTGTGTCTTCTCGGCCTGTATCCTCGCGGTCTCGAATCGTCCCCTCCTTGGTGCGGCCGACCATAGGGGAGGGATCCCCTCCTCCACGCCGATCTCCTTCCAATGCGCCTATATATGTATATATGTGAGGAGGGGCAGCCCTCCAGAAACAACATAGTCCTTAAAGGTTGCGCCCTCCATCTCCCTCTCCCGAGAAAATTCACTCCGCCGAAGGCTGCTCCACACCTTCTCTAGTATATGGTAGTTATTCATTCTGGACGGCCGAAGCTGTGTTGGATTGTTGATTTCATATGTGTGGATATTGGTAGAGGAATCGTTCCTTTGGTCCTTGAATGGGAGAACATTGTAACGGCTGAGAGGTAGAACCTAGCTGTGGGAATCTATGGGTGTGTTTGGTAGGGTGCATGAAGAGTGTATGAGGGCAAAAGTTCCTAATCCGACCCACTTTTGTTTGGTTGGTAGGGTGCATGGGCTCACCTGGGCTATGCTCATCTGATGCATAAAAGAGCCCTCAGCCATGCTCATCTCATGCACCCCAGACAGGGTGCATGGAGGCAGCCATGATGGCCCTGACACTCATCGCCACCCACTAGACCACGTCCAGATATGTTTATATTTCAAAAATTGTTTAAATTTCCAAAAAAGGTTAGAATTTCAAAATTTATTTAAATTTTTGAAAAAGTTTAGAATTTCATTTTTTTAATTCAAAAAATGTTCATAATTTCAAATTTTGTTTGAATTTTCAATAAATGTTCAGAATTTCAATTTTTCAAAAAACTAAAATAGGTTCGGAATTTCAAAAGAAAATCAAAATTTGTTGAATTTTGAAAAAAAAATCACAATTTCAAATTTTATTTAAATTTTTAATTTTTTAAAATTTAAAAAAATTTCTTTAAATTTTCCAAAAAACTAGGAATTTCAAATATGTTCAAATTTTCAAAAAAGTTCAGAATTTCAAATTTTATTTTAATTTTCTAAAAAATGTTTAGAATTTCAAATTTTGTTTAAATTTTCAAAATATGGTTAAATTTGTGTTCACATTTTTTCGATTTTGTTCATCATTCAAAAATATATTCGGAATCCGAAATTGTTCAGCATGTCTAAACACATGCAGGCTGCCAAACAAAGTCTCAGCTCAGCATGTCTCAGCGCATACATCGCTACCAAACAACAACAACTGCATGAACTCAACATGTCTACACTCAACATGTATGAGAGGAGAACAACTAGGCTAGGTCCATACGTGCTACCAAACACACCCTACATCAATCTTTAATAGTTGGTAAAAACCAAATCTAACCTCTTTGCGTCTTCATAATGATTCTGGATTTTATTCGTAAGCATGGTTTTTTTTCTAGTACGCTTTTTATCAATGATCGCCTCGTGGTGGTGCGAGATTGCGGGTCCCTCTTCCACCCGGAGAGCCTGGCAGATAGCAAACGCATCCCCTAGCGGCATGTAGAACATTGCATGAGCGCGTACATGTGGGAAGGCCTCCAATGGCCGCAACACATCCAGAGTATGGGGTCTCGGACACGGAGGTAGTCCACGTGGTAGCTGACACGCACGAACCGGCATAGGATCACGCCGTCTGCGGCGTGCCGGAGATGCCGCGAAATACCCAGTAGTAGGTCTTCAATGGTCACCCGAGCTCCTTCGTGATGGCGTCCTTCGCTGTAATCTTTGGCATCAGTTGAAGTTCACGGTTTGGTGATTGGGGCGTCGAAGAGGGAAGATAGGCGGAGTGAGAGATTTCCACTCCTAACTAGTGCTTAGCAAAGTAACACCCCGGATGTAACTTGCCATAATTGTAACTCTGACTCTGCCATTTTCGGCTTTAAATTATGAGATTTCCCTTCGTGGTTGGGTTTTTGTCTTCGTTCTGCATTTTGTTCATGTTATGCATTTCATATCATGTCATCATGTGCATCTCATTTTGCATACGTGTTCGTCTCATGCATCTGAGCATTTTCCCCATTGTCCGTTTTGCAATCCGACACTCCCACGTGCACCGGCGTCCCCCTTTTGTCTCTTTTCGTGAGCGGGTGTTAAACGTTCTTGGAATGGACCGAGATTTGCCAAGTGGCCTTGGTACACCACCAGTAGACCGCCTGTCAAATTTCGTGCCATTTGGAGTCCGTTGATACTCCAACGGTTAACCGGGTAACCGGGAAGACCTCTTGTGTGTTGCAGCCCAACACCCCTCCAAAATGGCCCAATAACCCTTCCAAACCACTTCCATGCCCTCCGCCGTCGGATCACGATCGTGTGGGCAAAAAATACACTCCATTTGGACACTCCTACCTCCTCTTAGCTATAAATATGTGCACCCGTCCAATTTTCGGGTCCCAAAACCCAAAA